ATTTTTTTTCGAAAAATGGGAAAATTATGAATTTTACTTAGAAACTTATTGTATTAATCCATTAAATGCTGGAAATGCAGTCCGCCAAAACCCTTACGTAGGATTTTTAATGGGTCAGGTGAAATGTGAGACACTTGTTTCCTTATATTCCTCACAATCGAACTTAGGGATGTAAGTCGTGTGATTGGAGAGTCTACTAAAGTGCATCCATTAATTCTATCCAGCAAATTCGAAATTTATGGTTTGAATAATTACGCACATTCTGTGATTGATGTGGAGGAAGGAGCACCGTCCTGTTGACACTTCATTTCTTTTTCAAGGTATGCAGTAGCATTCTCTATGATAATGATAGGAGTTGGATCGATAGCATTTTATAGTGAATCCAGATGTACAAGTTTATCATCAGTTAAAAATCTATGAAAATTAAACCCAGTAGAAAATTTCCAGAGAGAGTTTTTTGTAATTATCACACAAATAATATTGCGATTAACTACACTTTTCAAACAGAAATTAAAATTATACTCGTTCGCAATACACACTTCAAATAGTAAATCAGCATTTGGTCGTTCACTCAAAAATTTGTAAAATTACATGCCATTCTTTCAATAGTCGACGAGCACTTGGGTGTCTCACGTCTATTGTAGTGGCCAATTCTGAGCGTACTATCCATTGTAATTTGTCTCAATTCTGCTAGATCTGTAACTCCGTTAGAAAACTTCCTCTAATTATTTATAAAATTGAGCACTCCATAACTGTGTGAAACCACATTGAACTTTCTGAATCTTTTGCTAAAAATGATAAGGTTTTTATTCGAAATCGATTTGATTTCCGGATTCTCGGAAAACATTTCGTTCCTATTTCAAAACAAAAAGTTTACCGATTTCCAATCCTCTTTTTATTGTATATCAACGAATTATTGAAAAAAAACCAAGAATCCAATATATTGCTTTGCTGACGACAGCACATTCCATTTGTATTCCAGGACATCAGCTACGGAGGCACATCTTCACCGACAGCAGGAGGTTGCATATCTTAATGAGGATCTAGAAGTGATTTCAAATTGGGGCATAATCATAGCATAATCATGTCGCTGGAATTGCAAAGGCTGTTTGGAACACTGTTCGAAACCAAAAAACTATACACACCTCAGCAACTTTTGATGCTTTATAAAGTTCAGATCAGACCTTCTTTAAAGTATTGTTCTCATGCATGGCAAGAGCCATCCGCCTGATTGGAGACCCGAATATCACGTTCAACGTTGATAGCCTGGAACATCGAAGAAAAGTTGAAGATTTGTTTCTCTTCTATTGATACTTTCACGGGAGATGTTCAAGTGACTTGGCACATTTGATTTCACCAATAGCGGTACATGTCAGAAATACGCTACAGACTGTGGCTGCTCATCGTTTTGAGGTTCAACTCAGTACACCTTGAACTTCACTGTTTAAGAACTCTTTCATCTTGAGAACTGCGTTTATATGGAATAAACTACTTTCGCACAGGCACCACTCTGAGAACGCCTCCAGAATGTGCTGTTTTTTGTCCTTAAAAAAAACAAAAGATAGGGAATCTAACGCCCTTTTCAATGAGGAATCACGTAAGCCCTATTTCTGTTTGAAAATTATAAGTAATTACACTCTTGCTCAGAGGTTTCAGAGTTTTGCAATAGTTTTTATCTTCACTTGACCCCTTTCCAAACAAATTTGAAGCGTTTTCGGATTTTTGCGATAAGTTATTTTCCTGATTGTTCCAAATTGTGGTACGTTATCGAAGCCCTCTCTACATGTACAAAGTTCAAAAATGTTATATATGAAGACACAACTCATAACGGGATTTCATAATTGAGAATTCCCTATTGAGAAAGCTCGACATCTTTTGGTGATTAGTTCTAGTACAGGGCAGTGGTCGACGGACGACAACGTCCGACAAAAGCCGTGACGCCTTTGTGTCGCTCTTGGGTCATTAGCTGCGCGTTAGTTTGGAATTGACGATGAGCATTCTTATACACTTCACTTGTTCCATAGCCCACTAACTGTGCATCCTCCAACTACTGCTTCTTTATCCTCGCTTTAGCCGACTAGAGTTGTTCTTTCACGGCACACGTTTGTTTTTATCTGTTGGCTTTGACTGACTAAAAATAATTTCTGCATCACAAACAACACAGCGGTTGAGTGGGATATTGAAAAATACGTATTGTGGTGCATTAATTACACTTTGTAAGATTATAATTTCGGTTTGAATTTCCGACTGTGTATGAAATGAGTCGACTACTTAAGGAAATAAATATTACATTGAACAGATCTAAGTTATTATGATATTGATTTCCCAGCTTCAAAATACGAGGCATCGGAGTGTTCAAAGCATAATTGGTATGGAAAAAATTTTAAAAGGAATTCTCGTATATTTTTATCAAATATGAAAAGTTATTAGTTGAAGTTGTTCTGAGCAGTTTATCTCACTATTTATTGATTTGAAGAGGAAACTGAAATTCATAGAAATTCTCCTATCTTCCAATGATTTTATATTTGACTTGGTTGAGAGTTAACTGTACTTATATTCATTTCGTTGAATACCAAAGTGAAAAGTACAATTCTTAAAGAATTTCTTTTAAACATTCTCAATCAAATTGATATTTAGTATGGGTCCCATATAACCGAACAATATTCTAGAATGGATCTTACAAAAGCACAATATAAAATTGAAAGGTCGCATTGCCGAGCACAAGAAACACACAGCGAGGAGAAACCAGCAGATCAGCATGTTTGGACTCATCAACATAACATCAAGTGAGCTCATGCTTAAATCATCCACAAAGAGGAACACTGGTTTAGGAGAAAATTCAAAGAAGCCGCATATATGTTGTCCAAAAACGCATGTAGCCAAGCTAGCGTAGTGATACGTAACATATGGAGATCTCTAATCAAGCGGAATACGACCAACTCCCGCCAAACGGTCAGCGGAGAGAGGGAAGTGGAAGCGTGAAAACACTCGAATGACCTATAAATAGTCAGAACTCGGAGGAATAAGTCCAGTTATCACCTGAAGATCATTGTTGATACTAACAATCGAAACGTCGTGAAGTAACTTGGTTTTGATTTTTTTTAAAACTTTTTAATTTTCATTTCTTGTTAATGATTTTTCAATTTTCATCTCGTGTTAATAGTTACATTTTTTATATTTTGGTTGTTGCTTGTATTTTATTTCATTGTAATTTCAGTTTTTTTGCTCAATATAATTGTTATATTTCAGGTAATCTTTTTTAATATTTTACAGATTTTTTGAGGGATATCAAATCAATTTATATCATATTAGACAGTGGAAGTCCGTAATGAAATGCACCACGAAACATCGTCAACTACCTTCAAACAAACCTATTAATCCTATTTTTAACGCAATATGATAAAAAGCGTCGACCGCCTCTTTTGATGTTCTTTGTCGTAAGTCACTATTTTAATGGCTTTTTATCGGCATCCTCAAGGGTCATATCGGGTAGAAATGTCTCAGTGACTTTGTGGATGAATTGCAGTGTCACTTACTTGAGACGACTATGTTGCTTTCTTTGATGTACCGGTATATTCGCATTCTTGAAATTCTTTCACTCTCAGACAATACTGAATATACTAGAATAGGCAGTTTTCACGGAATTTTATTCTCATTAAATGCATTAGACATGTTAAATAATTGAAATGAACATAAGTCGGTGCTCCTATTTCCTATTGTTTCCCTTTTCTGTAAATAATCTCAACATATATCACTCGTACACCAAGATCTACATATAATAAACGTAATTTTTGAATGCACTAACTACTTGAAGACACTCGTAATATTGTCAGAAGAGTTCGTTCAGGTGAAAGTGACTGCACAAAGTATGTAATCTACTAATCCGCTACGAACCGCTATACGGCCAGAGTTCCTGAGGAACCACTCATGTGAAAGAAGGCGACAGAGCGGAAATACTCAGTGATTATAGATACGCTTTAACCCTTTTTCCTTTTCATCAACACTGAAGAAAGTCTTGAGAATTAAATCAATATCTGTAGGGTAGTTAGTAAGGAATAACAATGAACATCTCCAAAATTGAGTAGCTTTTGAAACCGACTCTGAACTTATCTTTCTATTTGCTGCCTAGAATAATGGCAGTAAATCGAGAAAATCCATTGTTCCTCCAAATCATCTGTTGCTTCCTGAAGTGAACGAAAGAATATATTATTCAACGAGCAACAATATTTTACTGGGTTCCTGTTAACTTTCAAGAAAGAGGTTCATAAAAATGTGGGCTGTTTGGAATGGGACCTTCGTCACTGTTCATAGTATTTTGCTGTTTCCAGACTTCCAGACTTTCATATGTATATTCTATGGCCATTCTCCAAGGCGTGTTGAGCGATAGTAGACTTTTCTGGTCTTAGAAAGCCGATATGTGATGTGTATACTTTGAAACGAGTTTTGATGACTCGCCTAGTCTGACCAATATTTTTTTTCACAGCCCATACACATATATCCTTGCCTTTTTATTCGCCAACATCTTATCTTTTGGGTCACCTAACATTTGTTGAAGTGGGCAAGAAGTGTATATTGATTCATACGAAAGCTAGAGGTAATTTTCGGGCTAAATTTTGTAATGATTATGAAGTTGTGCTGCTGGCGATTCTATGTTGGACTGAATAATATGTTTTTTTTCTTTTTGAAAGAAATCCCACCACGTTTGGTGTGCTTGCTATGGTGTCATCATCTACCAGAGGAATTTCAGTTAAAACTGAGCTTAAAACGTTATCTTCGCCGAAAATATTATCATTAAATGGCCATAATCCAATAGTGTTAAACCCATTTTGGATATTTGATGACGTGAAAGCTAATGGGTGAGCATTTCCAAAGCTTTCAGCGATATTATATATTGTTAGTGGCGTTCCTGGAGGCTGCATAAGCCACTCGTTACAAGCACTGTTAGAATATTTCTGTGGACCAAAGACAGTTCAATCTAACGGTTGTAACTTGTAGCTTGTTTATGGAGGGAATGAGAACATCACCATACAATTTTCTTTAGCCAACTCTATTATTTTTATTGATAGGTGAATCTTGTGATTATCCATGATCAGCAGCACTTTATTGTCATTACTAAGTCTTACATATTTTATAAAATGCTTCAGAAAGTCTTCAAATTTCTCGGAGATTGACCATCCACTGACATTAGCAAGTCCCAGCGTCTTCGGAGGAGCACCATTAGTCATGTGGCTCTTAAAGTGAACTCGCGGGAATATCATGCAAGGGGTTACCGAATTGCCACGGGCATTAACGCAAGCAATAATTGTGACATTATTACCTCTTTCTGCTGATGTCACAGTTCCTACTTGTTTTGATCCTTTTGGCGCTAAAACTTTTAACGGCGTGTGCACAGTAGACAGCCCGGATTCGTCAACATTGTGAATGTTGTCACTTGTAAAATTATATTTCATTAGCCAGCCTTTGTATTTTTCAAAAAATTCATTGACATTAGCCTTGTTAAAGGCTGTGGCACGGCCAAGACTGGTAGCTTCGGGTTTTTGCAGGCTTAAATTTTGATGACGTTTGATGAAATATTCATAAAAAGTATTGCTAGCTTGCTTATTTATATCCCAAGCACTTGAAAACGTTTTCTTCAAAGCTACTGCATACTGATATGCTAGTTTCAAGAATTGCTCTTTGGGTATGCCATAATGAAATTTGGATGATGTTAAACAATACTCGACTAACTGCTCTTTCTCTTCATCATTGAAGACTCTTTTCACAGCATTATTAAGTTTATCGATGACAGTTGTAGTTTCTTTTCCTTTATTCAGCGTTACGTAACGACCTATTAGAGATTTTGAAACCTTAAACTCTTCGGCAGCTTTTCGGATAGAACATCGTTTTTTAATCATTTTTTTAACGGCATTTTTAACATTTTCTGCAATTGGTTGGGGTTTAGTAACATTATTTGTACTCCGAGGTATCTAAAATAACAGAACTGCTGCAAATAATTCGCAAAACTGCACAAATTTAATTAGTCTCTCATGTAGCGACTATTCACCTGAAAATCCGAATTATTCAAAAAGTATTATGAAAAAAAAAAGTACTTGATGAAAATCTATATTAAAACTAATCAATACAGTTTATTGTATTGTATTCTTTATAGTCTGGCGAACTCGAAATAGAAATTCAAAACAACTACTTTTCCCAATCATTAGAAATGCAATACTCTTCTCGACGCACGTTTCACCAACCAAGTTGGCATCTTCCGGAGGTGAAAAAACTTCTGAAGACGACAACTTGGTAGGGGAAACAGACATGGAGAAAATTATTGCATTCCTGTTGCGTTTGTGGGTTCATTTTACGCCAGAGGTTCCAGTTTTACCCTTTATAACATAAGTAATAATAACCTGGAAAAGTCAAATTACTCATTTGACATAAAAATATACAAGAGAAAAATGAAAGATAACAATGGTTTACTACAAAAAACAAACAAACCATATTCACTTAGAAAAATTATCCATACCCATTTGCGATAACTAAAAAAAATTATGGTTTGTAAAACTGGAAGGTCACCCTTCCAGATATAAGCATATAGAGCATATTTAGAGCATATTTGTAGCCATCAACATAACATCGAGTGGCCCTAAGCTGAGATCATACACAGGGAGAAACAAAGGTTTAGGAGGAAATTGAAAGAAACCGCATACATGTTGTCCAACAATGTATTCAGCCAAGCTAGTATAGAGATACGCAACATAAGGAAACCCAAGCGAAAAGTGGCCATCTTCCGCCAAACACTCTCCCGCTAAACCGGTGAAGCGAAAAGAGGAAAGCGGAAATGACTGAAAGTACTCGAATGACTCGACTTTCGGAGGTTTTAGTCCAGTCATCACCCGAAGACGACTGTGGATACTAACAATCGAAACGTCGTGACGTAAGTTGGCTTGGAATCTCATAATTTTCAATTTTTCAATTTTTTGTTCATTTGTTCTATTTTTACTTGTAGTTTATTTCACTGAAATTTCATTTAAGGGTTTTCTTTTTTTTTGGTTCTTTCAGGAATTTCAAATCATTTTATGTAATTTTAGACAATGGAAGTCTGAACTAATGAAAGACGAAGTCAAAATTATGAATTGTTTCACTTAGTTCATATACTTGATTGGTAAAACGCACTTTTGCAGTTTCGTTTGTTGGTGTTGCAGTTTTGGTGTGTGGGAACAGAATTTGTGTTGTATCCTTATTGACATTGATTTATTCAACTTTGAATGGTTTTCATTTCAAATTGTGTAGGTACAATGGTTTTTAATTTTTGTTCCATAAGTAAATATTCTACTTCAACTTTAGATTGTTTGAACGTTGACGTCTTGGGAAACATATCTTTGATACAACAATCGTAAAAGTACGTTAATATCCCTTCGGAAAGTGATGGTATACGTTTTTTCTCTGGGTTAACGATGTCTTTTTACTATTTCTGACTGTAATTTTTCATTATTGATGTTTGTAATTGTGTAAATCATGCACTCTCATGTGTTTTATCTGACTCGATTCAAACATAATTCATTGTTTAATTTCTTTCTTTCATTTCAATGTTTGTAACACAACATTCAACAAGTTCGGTGAATATCCAGAATTCACGGTGAGTGTACATTAGAAACTCATTTCTCTTCCGGATTTCAAATTCTCAAAACCTTCCCAGACTATCAAAGAGGAGAAGTCCTTAGAGAGAAGCAGTGCAGAGAAATCCTTGAGGTTGCTGGAGCCAGTATTGATCGAAGCCGTCTTCGTGTCGTATCCCCGCACCCCTCGCCCTCTTCGGTTGCTTAATTCCGACCCCTCTGCCTCATTACACTCTTAGGTCCGTCAGGCAGGCGATTTCCATCCTTACCGTATCTGATAATGAACCTGTCGACCATCACGTTCGTCCATTCCGTTTATGGGTCATCATGTAGATGCATGTAGCGCTGTTTACGAGTCGGATCTCCTCTTTGCAACGCTTTCGTGTAATTGAATTCCTAAGAAAATTCCTGCATGGCACTTTCGTGTCAACGTGTTCGGAATGAAAGATGCTGAAGGCAACCACTCTGACGTAAATTTACACTTGAGTATTTTAAAAAATGTGGATTGATTCAATAAACTTTATGAGCAGAATCATAGGATCCTTCAGAGGTGTAATGAAAAGATTTCCAAAATTTCGTAAGCGAATTATGAGATCGAGATGTAGTACATATGTTTTCTAATTTTTACCCTATGATAGGTATAGGAATTGGTCGATAATTGATAAAAGTTCGTAACGTATTCAAGTTACAGTTCATTGTGAGATTTTCACTGAACAGTTCACGAAACCGAAACACGTATTCCCCTATGCAATAGCTTCCTAAGGCGTATTCATTTTGACTGAATTCTACCTAATTCGTGCTTTACATAATGTACCAAATTGAAACTTATGACTTTCTACCTACTTAATGACTAATAATTTCACTTGAATTTACGTATAAACATTATAAAAAAAATACAAATTCTTTAAATAGACATGTAGTAAACTAACTTCCAATTTTCACATTAGGAAACAGATCAAATAGAGGTTAAGAATTCAATTACATTTGTGAATTTGCAGAAGTATCAATTTCCAAGTATTCCGAAAGATTGAGTTCCAAACTTTTCTTTTGTTAGTGTATAGTTGTGGTTGAACTCTGCTCTCAGCCTAAAGATGGTTTGCAAATGTGGAATTGGTCTTCATATTCAAAACAATACTCCTAAGCTTTCTCATTTTTTGGCAAAAGGTTTTTTCAGTTTGGCCGATATAAAATTTTGTGCAAGAACTCAACTTTTATGCTATGCGACTCCAAAGATTTATCTTTATTGTTTTTAATGAATTTGCCTAAATTGTTATTAGTTCTATGAACCACGTCCAAGTCTATCCTTTTCAAAGAAACAAATGATGTTATTGGTTATTAATATATGTCAATGTCATATAAGCTTGTGAGGCACTATTTGGAACCTTCGGTGTAGTAATGAATATTACTGGAGTTTTTCCCAACACCAAATCGTTATTTTTAACACCTCGACACGTGTTTCGATCACCAAGTGAACATCTTCAAGAGAAAGATTGAAATGTCTTGTCATCGTTTTTTGAAGTGGAATAGACCAATGAAAATAAGCTATTTATCAGATCTAGGTATAGTCAAACACGTGTTGTGGTTTTGTAAACTATTCAGTGAAATACAACGAAATAAAAAGTGTTACTTGAATACCCTATGTTGGAAATCGAATGAAAAATAAATCATCAAAGTTGTACATGTTTTCGTTGTATTGATGACGTACTAATTAGAAAATCAGCAACAGCGTCACTAACATTTTTTTTCAGCAAATTATGACAAGTTGTTATTGAAATTATGATCACTACCAGGTACTCTTTCTTCTCATTTTATCAAGCATATTTATAATGGAAATATCTGACTTATCGTGACCCTGAAAAAAGACACGAAATTTCATTATGATGCAGTACTGAAAAACACAGGTTGGCCCATCAGTGGAATGAAAGTTATAACATCGATCAAGACGTGTATTTTAAAAATATTTTATTTAAAATTAAACAGGATGTCCGAGAAATAGCAAGGTGTTTTTTAACGGTGTCTCCAATTCATTACGCACAAATTATGAAATAAAATAGTATGTCTATTCGAAAAGTACATATACACAGTAAGTATTTGGACTTCGTGTATGCCCGAGTACGTTTTCATAAATAAAAAGGGTAACAAAATAATTTTCTAAGAGAAAGTCCACGTATACCTAGTACACAATATTTGAAAAGTCTCATTGTATTCAAATTGAACACTTTATATATTAAGTTACGTATTGATAATCGCATCTATTTCTCTGCAATTTTCAGTTATTATGATTTTCAGTGGTATTACCGAGAAAGGCTATTACTGTTCGGCCAAAAAAGCCAACAATAATCGTTATTTTTTTCACAGATCAAAAATTTATTTTGTAAATATCTTTTTAATACAAATCATGTAATTATGAAACAACAACGAAAATTAATTAGCGCTTCGGGGCGACTTCGTCAAATCCAATGGCGCATTTGCTTTTTCAGCTGCAGGAAAACCCGGAAAATCCTGCAGCACCACATCATCTGAAGATCTTAATCTGCCAATGTCCTCTCTTTTAATGAAACAAAATAAGGGTGTCTTCAGAGACTCCAATAAATTGAAAACATCGCCAGAACACTTAGTGACACGTCTATCGTCAAACTTAAACCAGTCCGTTTCGTCTTTGACCAAGGCGTTATAATGACCAGATTCAACGTCAGAACCACAGTGAACAATGACTGCATGAAGATTATAATAGTGGTCTGCTAGATTGAAGTGTTCATCTATTTCGAACCTTCGTAAGAGTTTGGTGCTTCCGTCAGAAGTTGAGTCATGTTTGAAGATCATCAGTGTTATTATTAGATTGACTGGTGCCTCAACTATAATTGTCTTTTCATAACAGTCAGTTAGTTCGGTGCATGTTTGGCAATACAGTCGATCATCACCTGTTAAAAGTTTCATTTTCAGATGACTTAACAATACATTTACAAAGGACATTTACTACAAACTTAACAAGTGAGGATTTTTCAAGCAAAAGATTAACAAACACATGACGAGATATACTGTACGGAATCATTCAATCCAGAGCGGTCAGGAGTATTGATTCTGCCATTTTTTTGTTCACGAAGAGTATTCAACAAGAACCTCAATGATTCGGAACAATCCTATTGTTGTCCTAACGAGTATCTAGTGGACTTCAAAGACTCCAGGAAATCGGTTGGTAGGAAAGATGATACATTTTTCCGAAACTGCAGCTCATGAACAGGTGTTCATGCAAAAACCGCATGAACAAAAACTGCCAGAGATTGAAGAAAATA